CTCCTTCAGAATGGTCACATGTAAAACACAGCAGCAAAGGAAGAAACTTAACCTTTAGGGCAATTACAGACCATTTTTGGTCTCCTAATGCTGTGGATATTAATGACATATTACATGGCAGTTGTTATTACATGAAAAATGTCAAAGAAAGTGCTCAGTAGTTCTGTGATGCAAAGTGCGTAGTAGGCAGAGAAGGGACAGAAAGGGAAAATTATCTGGTGAACAACAGAGACAGAATCATCTCCTGGGAAACCATGAAGTACAACATGAGAAAGTCCCACCCAGGGAACTTGATGAGACAAGAGTATGAAAGGGCACAATCTGGGTGCAATTTGCATTTTGTGCTCCTCTGCCTTCACCTTGCCTTCACAAATATTTGAAAAAAATCAACGCGAGGCCCACTGGAGACAAACTCCAGCGATAAACGAGCCTGAATGGCAAACAGAAGACAAGCTTTACCACACCCTCATCCTCCTTTCGCTGAAGAAGTCAAGGCAACCAGTGATGCATTTAAATCCTGGGCACGGTCTCAAACCCCTCGAGATGATGCCACTGTTAGGCTGTGTAATGGTGCCATCTCGTGGTACTGATACAGGTGACACTGGATCTGCTGCTTTTGCAGGGCAGATATTCCAGACAACACTTGAAAACAGATCCCTCGTAATTAAGTTTAAGTTTTACATTCGGTCACCCGCAAGCACAAAAGGATCCCATGAGGATTGACAACTGCAGGTCACAGCAGCCACACAATGGTCAGTGTGGCTGGAACCAGAACAGGGTCTCTGATGATGTTCAAGCTTCTAAGAGGAATGTGAAAAATTGAAAATCTATCTGAAAGGGTAAGAAGAATGAAGCAAGGTCAGGAAAAATCTGCCTCACAGAGGCAGAAGCAAAAACCAGTGCTGTTCACTGATGTCACAACAGATCACAAGGTCTCAATCCCCACATTGAAAGAATCCTGATAGTAACAGCCACAGCTCAGCATTAAGCAGAAGAGCAAAATCCATCACAGGAGACTCAAACAAAATTAATTCAGACTAAAGAAACTGGATGCACTTTTAAAGACAAAACTTGAGAACAACTTGCCAGTGAACGTGGCAGATTTCCCACTGCCCAACATCTGAAAATCAGAACTGCTAGATCAAAACAATCCTTCTTAAAAATGGGTTGTTTCAACCAAAACCAATGATTTTTTGATATAGCAACCGTGCATGAAATTGTCTGGCTTACATTATGTGAAACATCATGACAGATTAAAGTAATGAAATTTCTAGCCCTAAAATCCATATGTTTACTTGTCTTGAGAGTGATTCAGACACTTTATTCAGTTGGCAAACACCCACCAGATCACTGCTAACACTAATCTTGATGTCTAACATCTTACTTGGAGGCCAGACTGAAGTGTCTCTGCTTACAAGAACTATAGGTGCAAATCCCCTCCCAGCAGATTTTCCATCTCTCTCTCTCTCACACACACACACAGACACACTCACTTACCTCCTTGTCTCCTAAGCTGAAACATCATCATGTCATGCCACGACCAGAGTGTAGATTCAGAAACAAATTAAATCCAAGGGTTTTAAAACTTATCTCCAAAAATCAGAATGTTCCCTCGAGCCTTTGCCAACTTTTTCAGCACTCTGGAACCTTCTTATCCTTGAGTAAAAGCAGATTTCTTTTAAATATAAAGAATTTCAAGTGAGACAAAAAAGATGTTTGTGCTGTTGGGTGGGTTTTTTCTATTCCGTTCTATTAAGATAGTGAAAATACTGGACCTGTTTCTGCTTCAGACCCTCTTAGGATTCTTGTGATCTCATTAAGCAGCGCTTCAGACTGCCAAGAACGAGTTGCAGGTCCAAGCTTCTGAATTAATCAGATACCTTAAAGCATTAATATAACCAAAAAGAAAAAAAAAAAGGAAACAAAATCAATATTCAGACTAATTGTTCTGGAAGTCAGCGTTTCTGAAATAACACAGAGCAAACCTGTGCCCTACTGCAACCTGTAGCCCTGGAGCTTAGTACAGTTAAGTAGGACCTCGGAATTCCTGGCTCTGGAGAACATCCCCAGTTGTCACAAGTTTGTCACAAGTCAATTGTCACAAGCCCGGAAAGCCAACCAAATCCTGGGCTGCATCAAAAGGAGTGTGGCCAGCAGGTAGAAGGATGTAATCTTCCCCCTCTACTCTGCTCTCATGAGACCCCACCTGGAATGTTGGTACCTTCAATGTAAGAAGGACATGGAACTGTTGGAACAAGTCCAGAGAAGGCCCTGAGGTTGGACTGGAGCATGTCTCCTACAAAGACAGGCTGAGGAAGTTGGGGCTGCTCAGCCTGGAGAAGAGAAGGTTGTGTGAAGACTTCATAGCAACTTTCCAGTATCTGAAGGGGCTCCAGAGAAGCAGGAGAGGGACTCTTGGTGAGGAACTGCAGTAACAGGACAAGGGGCAATGTGTGCAAGTTGAAAGAGAGAAAATTTGGGTTAGATATTAGGAAGAAGTTTTTCCTGTGAGGGTGGTGAGACACTGGCACAGGTTGCCCAGGGAGGCTGTGGCTGCCCCAACCCTGGCAGTGTTCAAGGCCAGGTTGGTTAAAGCCTTGAGCAACCTGCTCTGGTGGGAGGTGTCCCTGCCCAGGGCAGGGGTTGGGACTGGATGACCTCTAGAGTCCATTCCAACCCCTAAAATTCTATGATTCTACAAAGTTTTGATTAGAAGGATGATGTGATCACTTTCTTTGATTAGAGAGTACCAAGCACTAGCCAACACCACCTCAGCAAATGCACCTTTGGCTTACTTGTGTAAGATGCCCAGTTGCCACCATGAGAATCTTGACGAAAAAGAGATACTTAGAAAACAAAAAGCTAAACAAAATTAAGGAAGGCAATTCATACACAGAGGGTGCTCTCAGGCACATGGTGTGATTCTTGGGGTGTTCTGTGCAGGGCGAAGAGTTGGACTTGATGATCCTTGTGGGTCCATTTCAACTCTGAATATTCTGTGATTCTGTGCCAGAAGTAACTTTTTTTGTGAGAACAGCCAGTAAAGTGGCTGTTTATGCAGACTGCACTGGTCAATAGGGGAAACAGAAATTCAGTTTGGGGATATAAAAAATTTATGGGTTTGGCCACCAAATAAGTGTCTCCAGATACAGAATGAATTTAATCTATTTAGTTGTCTGCCCATTACACACACAGTACCTTATCCATCTCCTTTATTCTGATACAAATTCATATGGAGTTTCCTGGGGCCTTCTTAGATAAAATTTTGTTGAAAGACTTACATCAGATTAAATTTCTTAATGTTCCTCACTTGCTGGAAGAACTCCAGTTTACCTTACCCTGACACTATAATATAACATGCAAACTAGACACGAGGCCAGATTGCTAGGCTACTGCAACTCCAAAATCAGCTTTCAGGAGCAGGGATATAATAATTTTCTATCATACTTAGATGGAACTGCTTTTGCAAGTCTGATATTATGCCATTTTTTTAAAAAAAGATATGCATTTAACCATAGATTAAATAAGAATATAGGCTGCTGCACAGGAGGACATGGAGTTTCTAGCAGTCTTCACAGCATGCTCTTTGTGACTTATGAATCAACAACCTGAAGATCAACTGACTATAAAGTTAGTCCTAAACGCATTTTCTCTGAGACAAGAGAACCATAGCAACGTGATTAAGGCTGGCACACAATCCAGTGTTTTAATTCTCTTGGCAAAAGCTTGTAAGTTCCAATTATAGCATTTTTTTATTTTTTTTTTTAAGAGATGCCTAGGAAGGTCTGATTTCTATGTGTCTCAGGCATATGGTTTACTGAGCAGCTCAACGGGGAAGGAGTCACTTGGATACATGAATAAATGCTATGTTAAATCACGACCTTAAACCAAAACAGGGTGACAGGGCTATGTGTGAGCCATTATGCTGTACAGGGGGGAAAACAGACATCCCTACAGTGTACCTACAATGCCTGCCCACAGAACTGTCTCCCTGGAAATGCTGGAGTAGTTTCTGGAAAGAAACAGTTACCTCTCCTTGTTCCAAGACATCCACTAAAGAATTACAGGCTGCTGGATCTATTCAGATTCAAATGCCTATAGCTGTTCACCACTGAACTTACCTTTCTGCAAAGCCTTCTCTGCCACTGGACTAAAGATCTGATTCTTAAAGAGTTTCACCTGTAATCATTAACACAACATTCAAGCTTTAGAAATTCCCTACTAAAAAGAAATATAAAATATTCTAATACAGACCCAGCTTGTGGTAAAAGAATAAAATCTCTTTACCAAGCCATATAATACATAATCTGGTGAAATATGTTATATTTCCAAGTGAATTAAATGCAAAACATTAGGAAAGAGCCCACAGGAAATAAAACATGCAATATGGAGTCTACACAAAGCTCTACACCCTGACTTACACACTGCATTATCACAGTGCCTGAACTGAAAGGCAGTTTAATGCCTGTAGCTTGTTCACTCTTCTCTGCACCAAACTTTTCCTGCATGAATGGCCTTTGTATGCCATCCTGTCCACCACAGGGTTTAAGGCAGATTTTTCTGCTAGAAAAGCTCAAATGAAAGCAATTCAAGATCAATTGTTCAGTCTGAAAGGAAGGTTACACTGTCATTCTGATACCAATGTGTGTTGTGGTATCTCTCTTCCATAATGCAGGATGTGGTTTCCATAGAAATATCTTCTTACATCAGAATCTACAAGCCCTCCAATTATTCCCCTTTGGACATCTCATGAAATCCAATAAAATCTTTTCAGAGCAGGGAAATAACTAGGCTCAACTACTGCTTAATTACTCGGTGAGAAGAAAAAGAAAAGGGCATTTAGTAAACAAAAGCTTTATTTAAAAACAAAACACAAAACGAAGAACATATGTCTTCCAAAAGAAATCGTATCTCACCTGAATAAATTTCCCTGGTGTTACAAATTAAGAAGAGTTAATTACAAATTTTAATACCATACTGAATTGTGCTGATTTCTGAAATCATGGTGCAGTTCTAAATTGTTTGGTGCCCTTGTCTCCCGCTAAGTCACCAGGACCTGTTCGTTTTCTGAGTCCTTTACGTTGCTGAGTATTGCTTGGACCTTGTTCCAAGTCCTCTTGTTCAGGACCTTGTGAGTTTAGAGTCCCTGCTGCTGTGTCATCTTTTTTCTCTGTGCCACCTCCTGCCACTTTCCCAACACCAGGAAAGCATTCAACATCCTGAAATTAGAGCCAAGACAGAAGGAACACCAAATTATACACAAACAACATAAACAGTGACTTGCTGTTAATAGAAAATGCCTCTGTCAACCAAGGCCTCCATAAACATGCAAAGCAAGAAACTCAGCAGCATTGTTTGTATAGAACAGCTTCATTCTTGCTGCTCTGACTGCCTTCCCAGAAGTGTCGGCATAAAGAAAACTGGGAGTACACGGAGCCTTGATCTGGCTGGGTGGGCTCTGAAGCCATGACCACAGCACACAACACCAGAGTGAGCACCACAGGGGCCAGAGCTGTCACAGCTCCCCCAGGAGACACATGTCTGAAGAAAACAAACTGATTTAATTGTGTGGCAACCAAAATGTGCTGGGGAAACAACCCCTACAGCTCTTTGTTTTGCTTCCACTCGTCTCCCCTTTTTCTTTATTTCTTGAAAAGGCTTCATTACTGTGATTTGTTTTCTCACATGCAAACCCTTTCCTAGGTTTAGGCTTCATCCAAACTTCACAGCCTGTTTTAGGTCTGTCCTGCAAAAAGCTAAGCACAGTCAGCTCTGCAGCTCAGCAGTGGGATAAAATAATTAGGACCATAAAGATTTAGGCTTACTCATTCGAAAGGTGCAAGGAAAAACCACAATGAAGATCAGAAAGCCATTCCACACGCACACCTTGGAATGTGCTGTATGCCAGCTTGGTTACAGTTGCCTTATCTCAGCAAGGATCAAACTAAAACATTTAGTGAAAACTATTCTGTAGTCTTAGCCACTCAAACTATTACAGCTATATAAATCAGCTACAGGTATCAAGGACATATGTGTCTATACATATTATATAGCTGTGATTGCCTACACAGATCTATGGATAGGTAGTAAAAACACCCATAGTTGTCTCTGATAGCTTCTCAAACCTTACAGGAAAAAGCAAGTCATAAAATAGCAAATTAGTCACTGTACCTTATCCATCTGGTCAACATCTGATTGTCTGGGTTTACTGGCTGGAGTATTCTCCATATGAGACCCCACTTCAGCCTCTGGAGAAATAGGGTAAATATTTTGTCCCAGAAAAAGATTTAAAAGGCAAAAATATTAGCAGACATCCGTGGCTATGTCAATTTAAAAAACACACCAGAAAAAGCCTCCTGAATGCTGCCTTCAACCCCAACCAAACCAGGGTGCATCTTGACACTACCACAAAAGACTAAGGTGAACAACTACACTAGAAACAAAATGTGTCTGGGTCTTTCTTAGCTTAAGAGTTCTGCTGAATAGAAAATCCATTCTTACACTGGAAATCCACTCTTACACCTGGAAAACCCATGTCCCTTTCTCCCTTTCAGACAACGCAGGCACTCTGACCAATTCAGATAAAGGATTACTAGCAATCATTTGAAATTGATTTTAATTCTTCTCAGTCTGCTTATTTTATTTTTTCTTTTGCATTAGCTTCACATTTACATGCTTTGTGTATATCACTAAACCACTTCAAAACAGCTCATTTAACTGCCTGGCAGATTTAGCAACCAGGACCAAATTACATTAAATTATTTCTGTTCCCCCTATCAGCCCCAGAAGAGAAATGTCAATGTGTTCCTGTTACTGAGACTATTTGCTGCACCTAAATCTCTCAATTTTTCAAACAATAGGAATTAATTCAGAATGAACAATTGCAGCTATGTGTGACAACCTGCTACAAAGCTTTATTGTTATAGATATATGTATATATGCAGGCAGAAATATGTCTATTTATCTGTGCACATCCAGACTGAAGCAGTTTGGATGCAGTTTACAAAAACTGCCACTAGATGCAGCCACAGAACCTTGCAAGATTTCCAATTCTGACCTCAGGGTTATGGAAACCTGCTTTGGAATATCTCTGACTGAAGAACTTTTACAAGAACATTAATAGTATTCAATCCTGAGTACTGATGCGGGGAAAAAATGTAATATGAGCAGAATTTTCGATTTTTCTTCTCAATAATTTTGTTCCCAAACACAGCATTGTAAATGTCAACAGGAATCTAAGAAATCAGAGCAGAATCAGACTTGTCTATTTTCATGGCTGTTGCCATAGATCCAGATTGGAGCTAACAATATTGAATTACATTGTATTTTGCTTTCTGCATAACAGAGCAAGTAGGAATGAGGCCCTTGTTCCCAAGTGGCCCCCTAAAGATAGAATCATGGAATCATAGCATAGTTTGGGCTGGAAGGGACCTTTAAAGGTCATCTAACCTAATCCCCTGCAATGAGCAGAGACATCTTCAACAAGATCAGGTTGCTCCAAGCCCCATTTAACTTGGCCTTGAGCACTGCTAGGGATGGGGAATCCAAAGCTTCTCTGGGAAACCTGTGCCAGTGCCTCATCACCCTCATTGTAAAAAATTTCTTCCCTGTATCTAGCCTAAATCTACCCTCTTTTCGTTTAAAATCATTGTCCATTGTCCTATTGCAACAGGTCCTGCTAAAAACTTTGTCCCCATCTTCTAAGGTACTGGAAGGCTGCTATGAGTTCTCCTCAAAACCTTCTCTTCTCCAGGCTAAACAGCTCCAACTCTCCGAGTCTTTCCTCACAGAGAGATGCTCCATCCCTCTGATCATTTTTGCAGATATCCTCTGGACCTGCTCCAACAGGTCCATGTCCTTCCTGTGCCGAGGACCCCAGAGCTGGATGCAGGACTCAGATGGGTCTCATGAGGAAGAGAACAGAGGAAGAGAATCACCTCCCTCAACCTGCTGCCCATGTTGCTTTCAATGCAGCACAGGATATGTTTGGCCTTCTGGACTGTGAGCATATGTCACTGGCTCATGCCCAGTGAATCCAAAGCTGGGAAACCTGTGCCAGTGCCTCATCACCCTCATTGTAAAAAATTTCTTCCCTGTATCTAGCCTAAATCTACCCTCTTTTCGTTTAAAATCATTGTCCATTGTCCTATTGCAACAGGTCCTGCTAAAAACTTTGTCCCCATCTTCTAAGGTACTGGAAGGCTGCTATGAGTTCTCCTCAAAACCTTCTCTTCTCCAGGCTAAACAGCTCCAACTCTCCGAGTCTTTCCTCACAGAGAGATGCTCCATCCCTCTGTATCTAGCCTAAATCTACCCTCTTTTCGTTTAAAATCATTGTCCATTGTCCTATTGCAACAGGTCCTGCTAAAAACTTTGTCCCCATCTTCTAAGGTACTGGAAGGCTGCTATGAGTTCTCCTCAAAACCTTCTCTTCTCCAGGCTAAACAGCTCCAACTCTCCGAGTCTTTCCTCACAGAGAGATGCTCCATCCCTCTGATCATTTTTGCAGATATCCTCTGGACCTGCTCCAACAGGTCCATGTCCTTCCTGTGCCGAGGACCCCAGAGCTGGATGCAGGACTCAGATGGGTCTCATGAGGAAGAGAACAGAGGAAGAGAATCACCTCCCTCAACCTGCTGCCCATGTTGCTTTCAATGCAGCACAGGATATGTTTGGCCTTCTGGACTGTGAGCATATGTCACTGGCTCATGCCCAGTTTTTAATCCACCAGCATCCCAGTCCCTCTCAACAGGGCTGCTCTCAACGCCTTCGTCCCCCAGTCTGGATTGATACCAGGGCATGCTCCAACCCAAGTGCGGGGCCTTGCACTTGGCCTTGTTGAACCTCAAGAGGTTCACATGAGCCCACTTCTCAAGCTTGTCCAGGAACATCTAGATGGCATCTCTTCCCTCAGGTGTATCAGCTGCCCTGCTCAGTGCTCTGCACGCTTGCACAAGATCTAGATGACTGTCTGTACATAAATGTACAACTCCAGTAGTTTCCATTCTTTTCCCCATCACTTTCCTCTCTATGTCCCTACACCACAACTCTGGAACCAAAAGCTTCTCCTTAGGTGCATGGTAAGCACACACTAGGACAGATGATAAAGGATTCCTGCACTCAGAAAACATCTCTGCTTTACCTATTATTAACAGATAGCAGGATGCCCTGGAAAACTCTCTTGCTCTATCTCCTCTCTGGCCATCAGACAGAGCTGTGCAGGAGTAATGCTGCCTTTAGGACCAAGAAAAACCAAAAAAACTCTCCCCTAGTTTTAGCAGGTGTTATCTGTCCTGTACCCTCCCCCTTGGTGTCTCCCTGAGTGCATAATATGCACAGTACTGGGATAATACAAGCAGAAGAAGGAGATTGCACATGTAAAACAGATGTAACAAATGTATTACACACTTTTAAATACTAGTTTTATAGTAGGTTGATTTCCCACTGAAGATGGATGAAAAAAGCCTGTTCAGCACATTTACTGTAAAGAATGATGCCCAGTGAGCTGTGCACCAGAGTGGAGAACGTGGTTCAAAAAGCAGATTTTTATTATATATTTTAGTGCCAAATTCACTTGTTTCTGCTCCATTCCACTCTAAAGATCACATTGCAATTCACAATCCTTATAAATAAACTCAAACAGACACCCTATGTCTGGTTTATACTTTTCCTCCTTCCTTTTCTTGTAGATAGGGGATATTTCATTTACATGCTGAACTGGCCAAGGCAGTTCCCAGTTTCACGTGTATATTTTACTGACAGCCACTCTGGTGAAATTATATTTCCCCATGCTTTAGGTCATTTCTTTTTCTTTGTTTGTTTTTGAAGAAGATGGCAAAAAGAAGAAAGAAAGAAAAAAAAGAAAGTATACTCTCCTCTGGGATCCACTGGTTTCTGAGCTGATCATAGCTCTCTTCAGTTGCCATCAATAAACTGCACTTAGCAAAATGGATTAAAGGAAAGAGCAACACCAGGCTTTGGTGGTTTAAAGCACGAGGAACATTGATATAATAGCTTCAGAGGAGCTCAGCCTAGGGCTAAAGTCTGACTTAACTCTCCTGTGGGTGCTGCAGACAAGATGAAACACAATGTCTCAATGGAAGGACCCCAAGCCAATACAAAGCAGGATGGATGTGGGAAGGCATGGGAGTGATTTGCTCTGCAGCACTCCTTGCTGCACTTCCAGAAAGAGACAGTATCTGCCCTTCTTTTGGAACCTAGTGCTTATCACAGCTTGTGTGCATGCAGCAGAGGGGCCTGTCTGGATCCTCCAGCCAGCTGAACAGATTACATCAACAAGATCCCCATATGAACTGTCAAAAGGTTTCCCTACTCTGTCGCTATCTTTTGTGAAGTAGGCAGGAAATGCTCCCAGCAAGAAGGATTTACCCTGTAGGAGAGTACTTGGAATCTTCCAAAAGCCATAATGAACATGCTTGTGCTCCCATCCAAGAATGGTATTGGCAGCAAACTGAAGGTAATTAAACACACTGCCCATTGGCCATACAAATTTCTTCTGTGTAACAATTTCAGAGAAACAAACCCCTGTCTATAACTCAGACATTGTGTTGTGCAACAGGAATTTTTTGGGCAAACTTCTACCCTGCTGTAAGTGCACTCCAACGGGAGTTACAACCATGTTATGCCAAGACTGTGCTTTGTTCAGTATCTCTCAGATGCTCTGTGGTTCAATTTCATTACCTCATAATTTCTAAGAATTGTCCTGTTTACTGTGAAAAGATGAGGGAGCTGGACTGCACCCTCAGTAGTTTCTCTATGTGCAAACAACAGAGACACCACCTCTCCACAATCACTACCTAACCCTTGATTACATTTCTTATCTTTATAGACCTGGAACTAACATGGCCAAGTTCACACTGTTTTTGTAACTCACTTCCTGAAGGGGATGATTCCATCTGAATTTTTAACCAGATATTCACTCGCTGGCCCCAATCTCCTGGTGCTTCCACCTCCCACAGTCGCTCCTGCTCCTTGGGGTAAGCCTGCAGGAATTTCTGGCAAACTGAATAGGAGAAAACAAGGGGTAAAAGTATGAATGAGTGAAAAGTACAGTGAAAAGAGAAAGTGTATTCTATCCCAGAAATTCTCTCAGAATCATAGAATTTTAGTGGTGGGAATGGACCTTATAGATCATCTAGTCCCAATCCCCCCCTGCCCATGGGCAGGAATACCTCCCCACTAGACCAGGTTGCTCAAAGCTTTATCCAACCTACTTTCATTTGTTCCTTTGGAAATCTTTTCTTCTCTCTTCTCATCCTTCTCCTCTTTGTTTTAGCTGGAGCTTTTAGTAAAAATCTATGTGGAATGGCCTAAACAGGCACAAGTGAATCCTGTCCATCTGCTTCAGTCCAGATTATTTCCTTATGAGCGCAGCAATACAAGACTTGCAGTGATTTACTGAGCACCTTCTTCTGGCCTTGCAGCACAGAACTATCCCCAGACTCTCAGCGGGTTTTAGACTAACAGCAGTGCCAGGTTTTGTATCCTCACTGCTCTGAAAGGAAAGGTGTTCTGGTATCTTCCACCTTTAACCATTAAGATGCTACTCTAATATCTACTTATAAACAAAAGCTTTGCATCAGTTTGTTCTTGGGCCAATACCACCCTCCATTTTACTACTGCTACCCTATACCCATTGCTGGGTTCATTTACTTCTTTGGGTGTGGAAAAGAGGAAATAGGAAGAACCAACAGAGGAATAATAGGGTACCTGGGTCAGACGCACAATCACCTTGAGAAACCATATTCCCACAGATTCCTATCCCTCTCAGTACACACAGACCATTGATATAATTTGGGTAAACAATCAAATTTAGGTTTGCTTATGTTATCAAACTGAAATGTGTCCTATTTAGTGGTTTCCTTAGGATGTCTGCAGAGTCAAGAGGAGACATATGTTGTAGGACAAACAGTCTGAAAAATTCAAAGGGGACTTTTAAACTTTCCTCAACCATCACCCAATCAGTTCCATCAACTGCACTATGACAGCAATCTGTAAACAACATAATTATTGTCCTACTCCATCCACTGTAGTTCCACATATTACAGAATAGGTTATTTATCTTCAGCATTCAGTTGAGTTTAACAATGGGATGTCAAAACAAAAACCCTAATTCTGGTATGTAAATATTTGCCTTGCAGTAATGAGCAGATTGTGGACATTAATTTTATCCAAGGATGTCCAAACTAAATGAATCATTCCAATCAAAGCTACTAAATGTAACATATATACCAAAATACAGGTATCAGCTAAATTGCCTTTTACTTTCTTTTAGGCCTCTACAGGACCTAAAAAAAAAGCTAACTGTCCACAGTTAGTACAGAAATTTAGATCAAAGGTTGCATTCATTTGTCAAAGTATGAGAATGTGGTTCCGATGAAATTAAAAACAGACAGTGACTATAATATATTCAAAATTTAACTTACAGGATTGGTATTTTTATAAAGGAAAACCTAATTAGAACATGATGCAAGTCAAATTTATTCACTAGTAGCTCTACACTTAATGAGGTGAAAGCAGAGTCTTGCAATATACTGTTAGTGTTAACCCATAAAAATTGCAGCTTTCCGATCCACAGTGTCTAAACCATTAATGTCTGCCAAAGGAAAAATGGATATTCTCGGGAGAAGAGAAAGAATGTTGTCAGTACTACTCCTTCCTGAATTTAGAAGTAGCATTACCTTAGAAAATCCTGGGGTACATCCTATACATTGGGGTCCCTTTGTACGCATTTAATAGCACATAATGACCAAGAAAAAGAACAGACACAGTCAAAATTTTGTCAACACTTATTAGGAAATGGCTGTAGAGTTCTAAGCCAATGAAAACATCTCTCCAAAAATCATGGTGAAGACTCTATGCCACACAGAAAGCAATTTCAGAAAAAATGCTTTTTTAAAGTAAACAGGTTTATAAATAATGTGTGCACAGATATTTTCTGTGAATTTTACTAGCAAAACCAGAACTTCAACCTGAACACAGAGAAGATATGTAAATACTTTGTGATCTTTGAAAAGTGACAAATGTTCAGACAGTCGATACGAAACAAGCACTGATGTGACTGGATGACTGAGCAGAGCCTGAGTATTTGGCTTATTAAATGTAATTTCTTACAAATGCAGGATCTACTAGAGCATTATGTGCATAGTGTGGGCTTGACAACATCTTAGAATTCTTTCCCCTCTGGTGTCAAATAAAATGTGTAAGTCACTGTCTAGGGCAATGACATAGTTCTAAAAGAGAGTGAGATAAGAACAAAATGTCAAACAGGCAGTATGAGTTTTATGCTTCTCGTTGGCTTACATAAATATTGGCCTACCTTTCTACAGGAAATTCCAGATGTCTCTGGAAAAGTAACCAGTTGCACGCTAACAACAGTTCAGTTCAGACAAGGGCACTGAACTCTTACACAGCTAAGACAATCTTACCCAGACCATATTGAAAATTATACATTATACATGACCCTTACCTAACATTTCCACATCAAACGATTTACCTTGATACATGGCAGCAGAAATAGGGCAGCTGATCCCCAAGGCATCCTCAGCCATGAAAGACTGACAGAAATCATGCAGCATTTTCATCCCTAGGCCACCTCTTCTGTACCTTCTCCGGACAAATATAGTATCCAAAACCGGCAGCAAGTAACACTGACTGGTTGTGCCATCACAAAGGCTCCCTGAAAGCAGACAGGAAAAAAGACATCAATTGGCAAACAAAATTGGAACTGCTATACTAACTGCTGTGTGATCTCAGCCACGTATACTGCCCTGGTACCTTTCCACAGGCTGTGAGGATGACCCCAGCTGAAGTGGGTTGCATGGACAGTAAAACACTTTCCAGAAGGAGTATCTGTGCTGTCAAATGGAGAGAACCTGCTTAATTTGTGGCTAACAGGTCTCACCATAGTATTTTCCAGACTCTGATTCTTCATAATCAGACCATCTAGGTACCCAGGCAACATGTATAGGAAAGCTCACTGAAAAGATGTAACTGGGCTACAGCCAAAGAGCTATAAATACTTTGAATGTTATCTCAGTGAATTCCTTTAGCTTTTGGCTATTCTTTGTATGAGATACACTGAAATACACAACACAGTATGAGCTAAATGCTCAGAAGGTCTTGTTATGGAGTCGAAAGTCCATACTGCCTGATGTAGCTGGACAGGGGTGAAGCCTTCCAGAGAAAACTCCCAATCCTGTTTCAGCCAACCATTTCAGAATGGCTGCAGGGAGAATAGAGACACCCTTCGCCTCTGTCTACATTGCTGTTGTCCTTTCCCAAATGGTATTATAATACTTTTAAGCATGAAACTTACTGGCCCCATCATTTACACCTCCTTCCTGACTTTTACTGCTCAGAAAGTTATACAGCCCTATTACTGCATATTCAGCCTTTGATCTCTTAGTTCAGTAAATTCCACAGACAGCTGTAAAAAAGAATATTTCTCTCTTTCAGTTATCTGTCAACACATACCCAGGAGTCATCTTCAAACCTTTGCTGGTAAGAGAACCACACAAAAAGTGTTGCAGTGGCTCCACCTGAAACTGAGAAACGTAACACGGAGGCAAATGACTTCCCAAAGTGGAGGAACCATGTCTGAAAAAGCACCAAGTAGAATCCCAAGCAATAAAACTCATAGCAGCAGCTTAGGTTCAGCCTTACACTGTAGCTACGAAAGTCACATCTCTGTAGGAAAATAAGTATATACTTTAATTAAGTTATTTGGGTATAAAGCCCTAAACAACTGAGTAGTGCACTTTAAGAAAACAATGTAAGTGCTCTTTTTTAAGTCACTTGATTTCTCCTGAATGATAATTGATCACACATGTAGATGCTTCTAGTTCATCATTTGAGCTACCACTGTCAGTGTGAAACCAGAGGTTTCACTCAAGGACAGTCCTTGCTAATAAACAAATTAAGTCAGTCAACTGAAATCACGGGGACATGACATAATGATCTACATGTGGACAAAATACAGACTCAAGTCTAAGCATCCAAACTATTACAACGCAGTGAAAATTGTCAAAAAAAAATTAGAACCAAGGGATATATTTTGCAATCATGAATGGTAAACTGGAGTCAAGAGCAAGTTGATTAAGAACAGCTATTCAAGGTTCAAAATTTCAATGTTCACCCTAAACAACCGATGGCAGATTCTATTGCAGGAGGTGCATTAGCAATTCATTGTACAACTTCCATTCAGTGCAGAATACCATAAAAACAGAACCTCAAAGTACTTCACAGCATAAGCACTCGACCCTGAAATGAATGACCAACATCAGTTCACCAACTACCTACATATAGGCTAAGGTCACCATAGAAACATCTCATCAATTTATTTTCATTTTTAAAAAATATTTATGAAGATTTTATGATGTTTCTACCTGGGTATACAGCAGTTTAAACACAAATGGATAACCAGGCTTTCATAACAGAAAAAGATTATATTTTCATACTTTGTTGCTTAAATCTCATCAAAACCTTCTTGGTTTTCTTTCATACTCCTGAATAGTAGATCACTCAGTCTAGTTTTCAGTGTCTTGAGACATTAAACCTTCATCACTTCACTAAGACCTATTTCACAGTTTCACTGAACTCCTATTAAAAGGCTGTTCCTAAATTCCAGTATTAGACTTTTACTTAATAGATCCATTTTTTCTTTGTCACAGTCCCATAACTATCTTACACTGAGGTCTACTTCTGCTCCTTGAGTTGGTCTCTAGTACCTTTTGCCGATACTCACCTGGCCTGACTTTGATTACTCTCTTTTCTAGGCTGTCAATTCAGCACAGCATATATGACTATATTTAATCCTAGATCCTCATTTGTCAAGGCTGTAGCTCTTCATTGAGCAAGAATCCACACCACACATACTGAGCTGTACAACAGAAGTATGTAGCTACATAACCATCCATGCACAACCAGGCTTGGTTCACTCCTGCTTAATCAAAGTGCATGCTTAACTTCAAACACATGTTCAAGCACATTGTTGGAAAAGGGTGGTTTGTGGTGGTGTTTATAACCTTTCAATATTTGTAACATATGATGGGTAGTTACTCTTCTTTTCATGAGCCAAGAAATTGAGTATATCCCCAGTCCTATTGTTAGCTGCCAACCAACAGAGATGTTGGATTCCAGCAGTGTTGCACCATACATTCTAAGAAAGGGACAAACTCCTCCTCATGAAAGTCTTTCAGAATTCCTGCATGTTGCAAGTGTCCTTATAAGTTTATTATTATCTCATATAGTCTGTCTCCTATAAATCCTGGTGAGACTGCTGTGCAGCAATCCCAGGAGCTGAGTGATTTATGTCTGTGCTCCTAATTTTGTGTTGAGAAGACAACAAAAACTTGTCATGTCTAAAGGCACTGTAAATAAAGAAACCATGAAGCCATTCTTCACCTTGTCCCTGGGAAACATATTAGGAGAGTCACAGCCCACAGGCATTTGAAATCAAACAAACCAACCAACCAACCTTTGGAACAAAGGCCACTTTGTCCCCAGTTCCCATCGAATAGCACAGAGGTTACCGTAAGCTAATGGTGGCCTGGAGGTGACCACTGGGCTCTCACACATTTGGTTGAGAGGTTTGTTTCCTTGTTGGAACACACAAAGTCTTGAGGTGAGGGAGGAGACAGGGAAAATAAGGGCATTGGTGATGGTGATGGAAGCATTCATGGAGTCTGCCCTTTGAAAGCCTTTGATCTGTTTGGTTAGGTCACGAGTGCCAAATGACCAACTTAGGAGCCAGCAAAATGGCAAACAGATATTACAAGGGCAGGAAAGCAGACAGCCATTAGCATTCCCAAAGAGCCACAAACCAGAAAAAAAACAACAATCTGGTCCCCACATCCAACAGACCCAAACAAAACAAGGTTGTGCATACTGACTATTTCCCCGCTGAACAAGTTGGCTTGGCACACACATGTTTGGACAGGCCTTGAGCAGGCTGAGTGCTTGTGTAAAAGGTGGGGAATATTTCTGCAGAGTAGAACCCAAGGTCAACCTATTGTGTGAGTTCGTATGTGAGAAGGGGAACAAAGGTTCTGGCTTCAATAAAATTAAATGAATTCATGTCTTGACTGGTATGTAGTCATTTCATTTTTATTACAGCCAGAACCTTCAATCTGCCTCAGAAATGCACATTAAAAATATTATTGCTAGCAAACAGAGGGAGACAAAAGCAATTATCCAACAAGATTTCAGCTAATTGTCTGTCAGATTAACTTCAATTCTGATTTATTTATTTTCTAAAAGAAATGTATGTGATCGGTGAAAAATAAAATCCTGTTATCTTTTCAAGGCTCTATTTCTAGAGAATAGCACCTGGGCCACCAAAGTATCAAAAGAAATTTGCCAAGGCTTGTATGAAGAAAGGCATGAAATGGATTTTAGCTTGGAGAGCCACTTCCATAGACCATCTCTAAGGTTCTCAGGTAGGAAAAAGCAGAGACTGGGCCAGGGTTGCTCTGCTGCCTCCTTTATGTGAGCTTAAGAGGTTTTGCAGCCAGGTGTTCCCGAACTGTGACTTGTGGAGCATCTCTAAAGAATGAATAAGAAGCGAACAATGAATTTAATCCTGATTTAACTGCATGTTTTACAGCCCTCTAGAGGACTCTGGTTAAGGCTGGTTTGACTCACATTATAGGGAACACCATCCTTACTACTAAGGTTTGACAGGAGGGAAGGGACAAGCTTTGACAATCTGACTACTTTGCTTTTCATACCACAGACATCTTGGCCTGCAGCTGGGCAGCTTCTTTGTGTCATAGAAACAGTAATACATAACAGTAGGGGAAAAAAAAAAAAGTAGATAAAAAAGGGATTTTGTTCTGTTTTATTCTTGAAAGGACTAAGACACTCCTGGCTCATAGCATCCTCCAAGTTCCTTATTGATTTATTTGCACCCTCCTGGCATTTATGTGAAGGTGGTAAAAGTCCATTTTCAGTAATTACTACTCCCCAGTAAATAAAAAAGAAAAACTTTCTGGGAATTACATGGTCTCATTGCACAAAAAATAGTGTCAGTAACTACGGTCATTAATCCTACATCACTACACAAAACACATTCTTTTTGAGGTTTTCACATGGATTTAGAGCACGAAATAAATCCTTTAAACAATATAAAACAGATCTCAAAACCCAAGTATCTTTGTGAAGGCTTTCTGCAAAATATTTCATTTTCAGGTTGCTGTCTGCAAAGAAAGGGCCAGGAACAGGGAACTGTTATTTCCTGGTGTATCTCTAAGTAGCTGCATTCAGCGAGGTCTAACTCCTCAGCTGTCCGATATGGAAGCCGCTGACATAGATAAAATTGGAGACATTTATCTTGGCACGTGACAAAGTGTCTTATCAGCCTCATTAGTGGCTTAGTACATCTCATCAATCTTTAGTATACCCAGTGGTAAATGCTGCATGCCTGTCATTGGACAGGAATAGGCACATACCAGAGAGGCTAAGTTGATGATCTGTGTAGTCATGAATAAATTTTGCTTTAATAAAGGTGTCTAATGCTCACGAAAAGTGATAGCCTTGACGAATGAGTCTTCTGTTTATCTACACAACAGGTGCAGGATGGTCAGTGTCAGTAGCTGCCAAATTGTCTCAAAACCTTGACTTGCAGTTACTGTGTCTCTGAGCAAGGCAGGTGCTCGAGACCATCTGTCCCTCCTTAGCTGGGCTATCAAAAGGAATCCAGCTAAGGATGTGCCTAAGATGGATGCAAGCATGGAACTGGACCAAAATTACCAAGTTCACTTTGTACAGGCCACCAAGGAACTGGCAAATGGAAATGACTTTACAATATTGCCAAGACAGTTAATTGGAATCACTGAAGTCCATTGAAAATTTAGTTTGCATAACAGCATGTTAAATCTATAGTAAAGATAGAACAGACTCTTCCTTGGTCACTGTTTCACCCAGAAGACTTGCACTTGAAACAGCAATGCTCCATAGACCTGTTCTGGCTTATTTGGCTCCACTGAAGCACGTTTTTTGTCATGCTGTAGATAATGGAAAATTCACAGATGAGAAATACAGTTGAATACAACATCAGCATAAGAGTCTCAATTACCCAGGGAAGAAAACAAAACTAGAAAGAATGGCCAGGTAATTGCAGAGCATGGAAATAAAGGGAATTAGAATCACAGGGTGAGCACAGAGAAAAATAATTTCTTCCTAGGACCAGAAGCTGTAATAGAGGTCCAGAACAATATAAAGACCTGTAGTTAAAGCTGCCTCTACTAAATGTTCTGACCAGGGCAGTAAAAGGAAAAAGTACTTACATTATGATCAGAAAAAAAAATTAAAATAATATCTAAAACAACCATGTGAAGTACAACTTCTAAAGGAAGATATTTATCTTAGCCTGCTTTGGGCCTAATAAATCCAGGGCTCAAAGTAGAGTGAATAGGATCAGCCAGAGCATGGTTGGTATGAAATTGAAATCACAGAACTTCAGAAAGAGGAATTATTTTCTAAATGCATACAGCAAATAGCAAAAAAGCATCAAAAACAATCAGTTTCAAGCTTCCCGAAAAGGCTTTGGCAAAAGACTGCAGTAATTTGTGACACAGCCCAAAAAACTAACAAATATAGCTGCCCAGAGGAAAAAAAAAAAAAACACTGGCAAGAAAAGGCAGATGCTGACAAAGCTGGACTTGAAGGATTTGTATTTTATGTGGACCTGGTTTAAAACCAGACTGTGACTCTCAACTTACTCAGAAACAGTTTCAACTTGGCTAATACTCCACCCATAACAGACTACTGTGCACATTTATTTTACTGAAGCATGAATCATTACAGCCCATACAAGTGTTTCTTTCCAAAGCTTTGCTCAGGAATATTTATGGACTTAAAGGAAAATGCACTGTGGCAATGAATGTTTGCCATTACAAACCAGTTCATCAGCCTATTCACAGATATAGACAAGATTCCATTATTATAGGCTGAGATTTGATCCATCTCTGATGGTACAGCAGCACCACAACAGCACACCTCAGTGTGAATAAGGATTTTGTACTTCCCAAGGCAGCAGAAGAGCAGAACATCTTACTGTTGCTGGCCTATGAGACTCTTGCAGGGGAGGCACCGTCAGACTGGTAACCACCTCTCTGGATTCCTCTGAAATCCTCTGGAATCCAAAGCAATCCATACCTGTACAGCTCTCAAGCTGTTTCTTGTTCTCCCATTTTGGGTGGATAGCTACCAAGTGCTGACTTGGACAACACATTTTACTGCCAAAGATCCCACCTTCTCTGTGTTTAAGCTGCTGGTATCAAGATGATACCCATGAATCCTAAACACAGGCTGGTAACCAACTCTTATGTGTGGGCACACACTCTCCTGCCTACCTGGAATTATTCTAATGAAGTCTCTTCCACTCCAGACTGGTTAATAGCAATGTACCTGCATTAATACAAACTCTCTGTTTAATGAAAGACCTTCACTAAAGCTTATCAGGTATCCCTGAAGAATCAAATTACATTATGTCGCTTTTCTATGCTAGTTAAACAATTAATGATGAAATCAATTAATCATCATCCTTTAAACTGGGAGTACCACAAGTGGACAAAGCATTCCAGAACTCACCTAGAGCACACACCTTCCTCTACACAGCTTAGCCACTGCTCCTTGGACCTCCAAGGATCTTGCCACTTCTTGCCACCCCCCACTTCCAACACACTGGCTTTCCACTGGGAATTGCACTCCTTTCTTTTCCAGATATCATTCTTTCCAGGATGCAATCCTCCATTCTCTGGGCAGGCCCTGCATTCTTTGTTCCTAGATGTACGACCTTCTGCTTGGCTGCATTAATAGCGTATTTTATTGGAATAAGCCACTACCTCAGATCACTCAGTGTAACTGAGAACAGGGTTTGGAACCATTGTGTTTAAATGAAAGTAATATGGATGGCTTCCAAATTCTGGGAAGGTTTGTTCCCCAGATTAATTCGGAGAGAGATTTCATATAAAAATGTAAATGAGAGCCAGGATTATTTATACCGAAAGATAAACAAAAGGATTACATTTCTAGCTATTAAGAACCAATGGAAATGTGTCTCCAAAATGACCTTACCTTTCATCTTGACAGAGTAAAAGGCAGCAGCCTCGCCGTTCCTCCAGAGGATCTTGGCACACTCGGTGGCAGAGTGAGGTAGAAAGAATGCATCATTAGCTGAACTCCCTTCCAGCATTCCAAAAATAATGTAGTTCAGAACAAAGAGGACAATCCTTTCTCCAAATGTCTGGACCTTAGAGAACAAACAAAAACAGACCAAAGAAAAATGAGGCAGAGAATAGTATTTTGCATCTCATAAAAGGTTTCAAAATCAAAAGAGGCTGAGAAGGAGGAGGTCAGGAAACATGTACACTTAATGTGGGGAAAATACCTCATGAATTGCTTCAGATACAATAACAAAAACAGTTTTTCTCAGTGTTTCACCCTCTATCCAGAGGGCATAGAATAATTTTGTAACTATTTATAAAGCTTGACATATCTCCTGTTGTCACAGAGAGGAATTCTAAAGCAGCAGGAAAAGAAATATCTTGATTGTAGTCACAGCAAAGTATTCACAGATTTAGAACCAGGATCAAGGTAATCTAATCTCAGTCAAAAGTGAAATAAAGACAGGATTCACTCTGTTGGCCTGATCGTGTCTCCTCTATTACCTGTCTTGCCGCACCATCAAAGAACTTCAGTGGGGCAGGACCCCACTGAGGTAGACACTAAACAAAACAGAAGATAACCAGACTGAGCCAAACAGGTGCTAGTTTAGGTGTATCATGAACAATTAGTCTGTGCTGTGCTGTTTATAGGACAACCAACAGGACAGGGAGGGGGGAATATAAAGGAACAAGGTCATATTGGTCATCAAGGTAAAAAGTGGTGCCAACAAGCTTTACATGAATGCTGAAAAAGAAAATGAGTTTCCACATATAATGACAATTTACCTCGCAATGAGCTAGAAGGGGCAAGTTTTCTTTTGTCAGATATTATTTTCATTCTCTGTTGATAGAGCAGATGTTTAAAAGCCTGAAGGCCTGTGTTTCTGCTCCAAGTTCTATCTTGCAAGGATTTGTATCTCAAAATCCCTCCAGTTCAGCTACCCATAAAAAGCCTACTTAATTCTGTGAACAATTAAACTCTATGTGTGACAGGTATTAGGGA